AGGGGGTAGTTGCCAGGAGACAAGGAGAGAAGCAAGGTGAACCTGCCATCCTGAAAAAGGTTCTGAGTCACCTGGTAATATACAGATTAAAAAAATATGGGTTACTTTAAGTTGTAAGAGCTAGTTAGTTGGGGCAGTGGTGGCGCACGCCTTTAATCCCTGCACTCGGGAGGCAGAGGCAGGCAGATCTCTGTGAGTTCAAGGCCAGCCTGGTCTACAAGAGCTAGTTCCAGGTCAGGCTCCAAAGCTACAGAGAAACCCTGTCTCGTTAGTAATAAACCTATGCTATCGGCTAAGCATTTATTATTATTAACAAGTCTCTGTACAGTTATTTGTGAGCTGGATGGTGGGACAGAAAAGTCTACCTACAGTCAGTGGTTGCTCTCTTTTTCTTTCTTTCTTTATTAAATTATAAAACTGATTGGTCCATTAGCTCAGGCTTCATATTAGCTTTTATAACTTATATTAGCTCATTATTCTTATCTATGTTAGCCACATGGCTCAGTACCTTTTTCAGCGGGGCTGCTTCTTCTGTGTCTGAACAGGACTGTTCTCTTTTTCTTATTAAAAGTCTCAGGGGCTCAGCAGTTAAAAGCACTAGTTACTGTTCCAGGCCAGGTTTCAATTCCTAGCATCAATGGATGGCTCACAACCATCTAACCTTAGTCTCAGGGAATCCAACGGAATCCAATTCCCTTTTCTGGACTTCACATGCACTAAGTATACATATGGACAAAATATCCATACACATAAATAATATTCTGTCTTTTTCTTTCCTTTCTTTCTTTTTTGTTTGTTTGTTTGTTTGGTTTTTTTTTTTGTTTTGTTTTGTTTTTTCGAGACAGGGTTTCTCTGTGGCTTTGGAGCCTGTGCTGGAACTAGCTCTGTAGACCAGGCTGGTCTCGAACTCACAGAGATCCGCATGCCTCTGCCTCCCGAGTGCTGGGATTAAAGGCCTGCGCCACCATCACCTGGCTTATTTATTTATTTTTATTATGTATACAATATTCTGTCTGTGTGTGTATGCCTGCAGGCCAGAAAAGGGCACCAGACCCCATTACAGATGGTTGTGAGCCACCATGTGGATGCTGGGAATTGAACTCAGGACCTTTGGAAGAGCAGGCAATGCTCTTAACCTCTGAGCCATCTCTCCAGCCCTTGTTTGTTTGTTTGTTTGTTTGTTTTGTTTATTGAGACATGACTTTTCTGTGTAAAACCCTGGCTGTCCTGGGAATCAGTTTGTAGACCAGGTTAGCCTCGAACTCACGGAGATCTGCCTGCCTATGCCTCCTGAGTGCAGGGATTAAAATATGTACCACTATGCCCTGCTCAAAGAGCCCATTTTTGGCTGGAAATCTAAGTGATTTTGATTCAGAGAAGTAGGCCTTGATTTCCATCCCAAGAGCAGAGCTTCTTCAGATCAGATATTTTGTTCCTTAATCTTGTAGCTTTTGCAAAAATACCCAGGCCAATTATTGGCCTTTGTACACACAACTGTGTTTAGCTTTGAGTTTATAAAGACATTGCTTCATTTACATTTCACCTGAATTAAATAGAATGAAAAAGAAACAAAAATAAACAAAAAGCAAAAATTCCCTTAAACACCTCGAACCCTTTCCCGAATCCTGTTAACTCTCTTTTCCCTTGGTACCAGGCCCTAGGCCTGCTATTTCCACACTGTAATATAGGTAAGCTTGACTTTGGTGAATCTGTTTTTCTCTCTTGATCTGAGGGGCTCAGAAGGTTAGAACAAAACTGCAGGATATGAAGAGGACCCTTAGGGAAGCCTTCCAAGATACAGTGACGTCTGAGCCAGAGACCTGAAGGAGACTAAATCACCAGAGTATTTGGCTAAAGAATCAACCTAGAAAGAGGGACTTCACTGCAAAGACCTCAAGGATGGGTGTGCAGGGTGTATTCCAACCACACTTTCTTTGTTAAAATGTGTATTCCATCCAGGCTTAGTGGTGTATACCTTTCATTCCTGCACCAAGGAGGCAGAGGCGGGCAGATATCTGAGTTGGAGGCCAGCCTGTTTACCTAGCAAGTTTCAGGATAGTGAGTGCTACAGAGACTTTGTCTCAAGGGGAAAAAATATATGTGTAATCTTAGCCCCCGGCATCCATCTTTGGAAGCCCATCTCCCCAAGGAAGTTCAAGGAAACCCGCTAAACCTTGACCCCTCCCAGGAAAGGTCAAGACCATTCCCACAGGCTATTTAAACTGCTCCCCAGAAAATAATATGTGGTCTTTTCTCTTCCTCTTTGGTGGTCCTGTCTGCTTTCTGTTTCCCCCTCGGGGCCACCCAAGAGCACAGATGTCCAATTAAACCTGAATAACTTTTAATTTGGTCTGATTTGGTCTGACTGGGATTATTTGTGTTGGCGGAGAGGCTCATTTTTTAGGAATATTTTTAATAATATGTATGAGTGCTTTGCTTATGTAAACATCTTTTCACCATGTGCATGCCTAGTGCCTGAAAAGGCTACAAGAGGACATCCAATCACCTGGAACTGGAATTACACAATTGTGAGCTGCTATGTGGATGGTGGGAATTGAACCTGGGTCCTTTGGAAGAGTAGCCAGTGCTCTTAACTGCTGAGGCATCTCTCCAGCCCCAACTACAATTTCTTAGTGAGGCCAACTCTGACAACTACTTAAAAACCCTATATCCATCTTTTGGTTTCCTCTATAGTACCTGAAAGACCCTCGAAGACAACTTCCATCAAAAGGAGACTCCCCCAAGCCAAGGAACAGGCCGAGACCACACGGACGCAAATAGCAAGAGGTTTATTGGGTGAACACAGGTACCTGGCGGCAAAGTCTTTCGGAGGACTTGCGTGCCTGCAGACTGGGGGAGGTCTTTTTATAGGGAAGAGGGCAGCAAAAAGCAAATTACAGAAGCAGATGCGTGGTTATTAGTCTGATTTGAATGGGGCAGGGGGCATAAGTGGTTTTTCCTTCCCCAGCACAGATGTATGGCAACAGATATCCTGTTCCTTTTTGGTTTTTCCTTTCCCAGCACAGATGTATGGCAACAGACATCCCATGGTATAGATATCCTATATCACAAATATCCTGTTTTGCAGCCAGGGGCCCTGACCTCACTCTGCACTTACATTTGTTTGTCAAGAGCCTTGGGAAATGACGTTACAGCAGCTAAGCTGGGATCTCTCATAGGGGGAATTTTTCCTTTTGTAAACTGCTGATATTCTAAGTTTGGCACATGTGCTGACTATAGGCATCCTGTTTCCCTAAGTGAACAGGATGTTCTCATGAGAGCCGGCTAGCTGCAGGTCCTGAGAGGGTCCTGAGGGTCTCAAGCGAACAGGATGTTCTCATGAGAGCCGGCTAGCTGCGGGTTTGGGGGAGGGGGTTGTAAGGTCTTTCATACCTACAGAGAATGGGCATTTTTGCTTTTCTTCTTCTTTTTTTATTTTGTTTTTGTTTCTTGTTTTTCAAGATAGGGTGTCTGTAATGGATTAAGTAAAATGCTGCGGATCTTGAGTGGCTGCAGCGGCAGAAAAGCTGCAGGTCTCCAAGCGGCGGCAGTGGGCAGCGGGTCCGAAAGCAGCTAAGGAACAATGCATTTCCCAAGTGCCTGCAGTGGGCCATGAGGGGAAGCAAGTCCCATGAGAGACAGACAGATGCACACAACATGAGACCAGCCACCGGTCTCTGAATGTGGCTGGTCCCAGGCAGGGAGCCACATGGTGGAGGAGAGACAAGTGGATAGGCATGCCATCCAGAGTGGGGTTGGATATTTATTTAGTGGGTTATGGAAGGGAAGGGGAGAGGGGTAAGGGAAGAAGGGGAAAGAGCAGAGAGAAACAGAGACAGAAAAGGAAGGGGAGAAGTGGGGAGAATGGAGAAGGCAAAAGCTGCCTCTTCAGGGGAAGAGATGGAAAATAAAGGGACTCAGGCAGAAAGCATAAGATCAGCTTGCCTTGGAGAACTGGGAGGGAGTGGGCGTGACTTGTCTCTTAAAGGGACAGAGCAGACATTACAGTGTCTCCATGTAACCGCTCTGGCTGTTCTGGTACCTGATTTGTAGACCAGGCTGGTCTCGAACTCCAGAGATCTGCCTGCTTCTGCCTCTCGATTGCTGGTATCAAAGGCATGCGCCACCACCACCTAGTGAGAAAGGACTTTTTTTTTTTTTTTCAAGACAGGGTTTCTCTGTGGTTTTGGAGCCTGTCCTGGAACTAGCTCTAGTAGACCAGGCTGGTCTGGAACTCACAGAGATCCGCCTATCTCTGCCTCCCGAGTGCTGGGATTAAAGGCATGCGCCACCACCGCCCGGCAGGACGTTTTTATATTTATTTTTTATTCCTAATTATTTCTTTTGAGATTGTAATATAATTACATCATTTCCCTTTCCTCTCTCCAAACCTTCCATATATCTCCCCTTGCTCTCTCACACTGGCCTCTTTTCTCAGTGTTGTTATATGTTTATGTATATATTCCATTATTTTTATTCTTTTTGGTTGGTTGGTTGGGTTTTGGGTTTTCTTGAGACAGCATTTCACTGTGTAGCCCTGGCTGTCCTGGAACTTGCTTTGTAGACCAGGCTGGAACCCAGAGATCCAGCCTCTGCCTCAAGAGTGCTAGTCACAGGTGTCGGCAAGTTTTTTATGTTGTTTTTGCTGTAATGGGGCTGAAATGCAGCGTTTCCCACATGTTAGGCAAGTGCATGTCCTCTGATTTATAATCTCTTATTCCCTGGCTTTTTTTTTTTTTTTTTTTGAAAGAGAGGGCCTCACTTAAAAAAAAAAAGCAAAACAAAACAAAATCAGAAACAAAGCTATGCATAGGAATGTTCTGACTGCATGCACCATTTTTATGTCTGATGCCCTGGGAGGCCAGAAGAGGTATCCGATTCCCTGGGACTGGAGTTATAGAAGTTATGTGGACAGTGGGAATCAAATCAGGGTTCTCTGAAATCTGTGGAGTCCTCTTAAATTTTTTGCATGGTGTGTGTGGGGATGTGTGTGCTGCAGAGGCCAGAAGATGGCATCGGATCCCCTGGAGTGGGAGTTAAAGGCTGAGTAATCCAATATGGGTGCTGAGAACCAAAGCCTGGCCCTCCGGAAGAGCAACAACCCGTCGTCTTTTGCTTTTATACAAGAGAACTTTCAGGATATAATTTTGTACTAGTAAGTTTTGATTTCCCGCTTTCTGTGAAGGTCCTGCCAGCATCTTCCCTATATGGATCTAGCCCAAGCTTGTGTGCAACACACGAGGAAACCATGTGGAGAGACCGAGATCCGGAGCTGCAGGGAAGCCTGCCCAATGAAAGGAGGAAGCTCGCCCTCTTCCGCTAAGACGTAGGGGAGAAGGCCATTACCGAAGCCACAGCACAGCCCATTGCTAGACTAGGGATTGCTCTACGGCTCGGCATCACCGGGACACGTGATCACGAGCTTGCGCAGCAGCACCGCAAGTTCAAGCCTGATTGGCTGATGCGAGGAGAGGGATCACGCGTGCGCACTTTCTCACGCGCGAGCAAGGCCTCGGCGGGTGTTGTTCTTCGGTCTTCATGCTCTCTCTCTATCTGTAGAGCTCTAATTCCTCACCCCAGTTCACAATGTTCCCGGAACTCAATAACCTTCTCAGCAGCACCCCAGACAAGACGGAGCAGGTAAGATGTCAGGCGGCCCGGAAGGGGGCGTGTCCCGGGAGCGTGCGGGCAGATTGCATCCGGAAAGCCGCACCGTGGGGCTGGCGCGGCTGCCGTAAACCCAGGGCATCTGGGAGTTGTAGTCTGGAGAGGGCTCGCCAGGACCGAGGTTGACTGCTTGGGCCTCCGTAAGATTGGCGGCTGAGTCATCTTGCGTGTTCTTAGCGTCCTGCCCCTGGGACCGTGTCCTCCGTGCCACTCTGGCGCCCAGAGGTGCTTGCAGTGCGGGTTCGAGAGGAGCCTCTTACCCGAGTCTCCCTCCACCGTGGAACATTCAAGTTGCTGATGGTGTCCTTTTTTTTTTTTTTTTTAAAGATTTATTTATTATGTATACAATATTCTACATTGTATGCCTGAAGGCCAGAAGAAGGCACCAGATCTCATTTTGGAATGGTTGTGAGCCACCATGTGGTTGCTGGGAATTGAACTCAGGACCTCGGGAAGAGCAGTCAGTGCTCTTAACTGCTGAGCCATCTCTCCAGCCCCCCATGCTGTCTAAGAACTGTCAACAACAGTTTAACAGCTGTTTGCACAAAGCATTCAGCAAAGTCCTTCCACTCTACTTTCCTCAGGCTGCGCACTCTCCACGGAACCTCAATATCTTTCACATTTTCACGTAGAGGTTACCTCTGCCAGGATTATATGTGTCTTATTCTATAATTGGCAGTGAACATATCACGTGTGGAAAGTCCTTAAAAGATCCTTGTCGATTTTATTTGCCCAACAGTTCTTGTCTGTCCAAGCCTCCAGTTAGTTCTGGCTACTTTGTGAATTGCTAGGGCATTTCCCAGGTCCACAGTGACAACAGGAAATGGGTGGGTCAGGTACTTAAGGCCCGGAAGTATGATTTGGCATTTTGTATGTGGGGGGGGGGCAACTGAAACCCAGAGACATTAGACACATTTGCCTAAAGTTGACACAGCATTGAGGTGATGTGTGACAGACACCCTTTGATCCTGCTTTTGCTACTCACAGAAGTAGAAAAGGCTCCAGCGGGTAGCTACACACTGCTGGGACTTTTTTTTTTTTTTTTTT